GAGAGGGAGAGAGAGATAGAAACATTGATGAGAGATGAGAGATGAGAGAGGCATCAATATCAATTGGCTGCTTCCTGCATGCCCCCGCTGTGGATCTAACCTGCAACCCTGGGCATGTGCTCTGACAGAGAAATCAAACTGGTGATCTTCTAGTGCATAAGTCAGCACTCAACCACTGAGCCTCACTGGCTGGGCTAAGAGGCATTTTCCCCGCTCCTCCATCCCTGTATTTCAAATTGCTAATTACTTTGACAAGAATGGCTGCTGGACACCTTGGGCAGCTAAAATGAGAGAGGTTTCAGCTCTCTGACTCTCAATAAACACAATTTCTTCAGATTTTTCATGTTTTGTAAATTAGTATAAGTAATACCAGTACAATACCTAGAAAATAGTGCATACTTAATCAGTGTAAATACTTTAAATATTCGAGAGCAAGTCAAAATCAGCCCCTTATTATTTTTGTATCCTTTGCCAGAAAGAATCAAGTAGGTTCTGAATTGAAGGACTAAAGCCTCTTAGCGGCAGGAAGTGGGAGAATTGTCAGTGATATCTTGGAGGAGAGAGGCCAGGTCATTGGCTCTGAAGAGGAGACTGGTAGCTTCAACTTTCTTAGTCCAATTGGCCTCTATTTGCTGAAGGATTCGCCACTTAGGACATTGTAGCAACAGAACTGAGAACTATGAGTTAGCAAAGAAAACTATCTCATGCAAGAGAGACCAGCAAATTAAATGAAGAAAACGAATTAAAATAAAACAAATATAACTTGTGGGTATTTGAGTCTCTGAAAGAGAGAGAGGGCAACTAAATTAGATAACTATAGTCAAAATAAGTCAGGAGATTCATGAGAGCATATATATATATATATATATATATATATATATATATATATATATTCAAGACTGCAGCTAGAAAATATACTATTTAATTAAATAATTTAGTTGAAAATTTTAAAGGGAAATGCTGTCCCAAATTATAGAAATCTAGGATATTTCCAGGAAAGAAACATGTTTTAAAGTAAGAGGAAAAAATAAAGAAATGAGGACCTGCTTTTATCTTCATGCACATACATGATTCTCCCAGTAAACTCTTGTGGCCTTATGAAATAGTAATTTGCCCATGAAGCTGTCCCTGCCAAACTTGGGAAAAATAGCCACTACTTATCCACTTTAACTTGACCTCTCCCACTAAAAGAACCTCATGAGGGAAAGGAATTTGTTCAGCAAAATATGCACCATGTCTAGAAAAATAACTATATAGTAAGAGCTCAAGAATTATTTGTTGAGGACTTAATGGATGAATTAGTTAATGAATCATGATGCAGAAAGTTGAGTATCTTGGAATATAGATCAAGAGAATGTAACATGTGAATGATAGCAGCTCTAGGAGTAACAAGAATATATGGAGGAAAAGCAATCATTAATCAAGTTGTAGAATATTTCTCTGAGTTGGAGAAAGTACTGAGTTTGCATATTAAAAAGGTTTTCTAACCAAGCTAGATTGATGGATAGAGAAGTACCTATCAAGCTGCAAGGCAGAAAAGACAATTTACTTACAAAGAAAAAATAATCAGAGTGACACCATATTGTTTATTTGTAATACAGGTAGCTGCAAGACAGTGACATAGCATTTATAGCCGCAGAAACTGGAAAACATCTATGAGCTACTGAGAGAAAATACTGCCTTCCCCAAATATTTTACCTGACTGCTGTATATTGGTTGTTGAGAGAAATATTTATGTGTATGCTAAGATTCAGAAAAACTATCATTCAGGTCATGTATATGAAGAAAATAAGTATTCTTACTAAATACAAAATGGACTAGAATAGGGAAAATGTGTGTGCATGTTCACACATGCATGAACATACAAGCAACATGTACTCACAAAGGTAAATCTAAATTGATAATGATATAATATCTGGATGTTAAAAAAGACCCCTGAAAGAAATTGTATATCCAGTGGAGGAGACTGTATTTAGGATCTAGAAGTAAAATAAGTTATTTAAGCAATACCTTGTAGTGGGGAGGGAAAAAACACACACATAGATATCAAAATTATGTATCCACCTTAGTGAAATAATTAAAACTTTGTTTGCAAAAAAATAGTAAAGAATGTGATTGATTATATATCAGTGAAAGAGAAGGTTACCATTAATGGAATGAAAATATTTGGTATCCTTTCTCAATTATGAAGAAGAAAAGTGCAACAAATAACTTAAACTAGGAGAAAAGAAACACTGTAAAATTATTAAATAAGAATATATTAATTATATGAAGAAAGTTACCAAATACTACTTGACACTGTAGTTTCCTTCCTGTTAATAAATGTCAACAAGATTTCATCAAGTCTTATTCATTCTGTCTCCTTAATGTCTCCTCTATTTTTTCTTCTCCACACTGCTATAGGATACATGTCATTTCTCCCGTATTGCTATCATAGCCCCTTCATTCGTCTCCAAAATACAGTCTTGTAAAAATTTACACCATTTTAATGCTAAACTACTTATAAATAAATCTAGGCATGCTAGTTCAAATTTTATTTTTTAAACTTCTTTCATCACACTTCAGGATCAATTCCAAGTGGAATCCAGCTAATGCGCATGTTGTACCCAGTATATAGTGAGGGTGCTGGCGCAGGGGCATTTTCTAATTATGTTTTCCTCTGCCTTGGGGTTACACCTCCCTGGGCCAAGGGTCACAGATGGTGTTTTGGGGCTTCCTTCTTAGTATGTAGTGAAAGTGCTACCACATTAGCCCAATTTTTCATGATCAATAAACCCTATGTTTAGAAACATCTTTCTCCAAGTTGCTGCTGCCTAATCTCATCCAGCAACCTATAGATCTGATCTCATTGATGACTGAGAGATCTTCATTTCATTCATAGCCCTGACTCTACCTTCTCTCTCTAAACCATACTCCAGAATAACATAAATCCAAGTTCCACGGATGTCCTTAGCTAGTCTTGGCCAGTTTAATTCATTCCCACTCATAAGGAACTCACCAAAGTTTGATATTCCAGAGCTTCCTTCTTCCTGCCAGCCTTACACCAAGTAGGAAAGGGTAGAAATGAGACTTTTTCTGACAAAGCGGTGTTTGGAATCATTTCTGGATCACGGTTAGGTTCTCAGAATGAGAGAAGTTAGGTAAACATATCTTAACAGGTGGCATCAATGGAGTAGCAGAGTATAATAAACTAAATTTAGACTATACTTAATTTTAATAACAGCTCTAAAACTAGTGATATGGCCAAAACAATACTAACAAATTCTCAGTATGTTTCTTCATTTATAATATAGTGGTGATAATATATCTCACATAGGGTTCATAAGCATTGAGTGAAAAAATAATAAAATTGTGTAAAAGCAATTAGTTTAGTGGCAGCACATTGTAGATCCTGAAAAAAATGGATGGTTATTATTGATATAAACAAAGAGATGATTCAATTATATAAGATGGAATTTCAAAAGTGTGCCTTAAACTGTAGGAAAGGTAATTTATAAAAATGTTTTACTGAGGCTGTTTCAGTTGGACTGTGTTAGCAAGGCTGTTGGTTTCTTCTTTTATGAATTATCCTTTGTTCTAATAAGAAATTTAAAGTAATAAATATATCGTACAATTCATTTCATTATTAAGTCAGCTTGTAACAACATAGTCTTAAAAAGTATAATTTTTGGCCTTAATTCTCTCATGTTTACTTTAAAGAAACACACAGTCATTTATTTTAGTACCCCATTTGGTTTACTAAATGTGATTTAAAGTACAGGAATATTTTCTCAGAAATTAATGAGAGTGGGTGCAAAGGAAGCCAGAACACACCAGTATGTGCCTTTAACACCTTGTTGCAGCTAATGAGCTGGAGTCCAGATTTGTTCCTCGTGTAGGAATGCCTGGGGCAGTCACCTGGGTCCCTGCTGCTTGTAGTGAGTTTTAGAAACATTTCTCCAACTGGAGCCAGTGTTGTGGCTGGACAGGTTCTTTCAGGTTCTTACTATAATTGTGATGTGCACAGCAACAACCATATGGGAACCTTAAAATGCGAAGCTTTTTACTCAAAGGTCCTGGAGGATAAATAGCATCTTCAAGGGCCAGGCAGCAAGGCAGCAGGTAGAGAGAAAGAGAGCATAGACCTGGAATTCTGCCATTATTATGGTTGAGGGTGGAGTGCTTAGGGTTTCAAAAGTTTATTTTGTATCAGTGATTTTAAAACATAAGAGCAGAATTAGGGAGTGGGGAGAGGAAAGCAGAGTCACTGAAGTTGCCTGTTATCTAGGTTACCCAGGGCTTTCTAAAAGGGAGACTTCATGGATAGCGTAGGCCTGGCAACTTATTTGTGTAGCTAGTAGGTGTCATATAGGCAGCCAATTTGTGTATTTGATCAAAATGGACGTCTTTGAAATGGGTGCCTCAGGAATCAAAAGCTTAACATTAGGTAGTTACATTACAATTAAAAAACACACACACACACAAAACCTTATTGTCATGCACATATACTCCAAGAGTGCTTTATTTAAAAATTAGCCCAAATATGACCATGCTATTATTTTCCAATGTAACTCATTACACTATGTCTAAAATTCATGTGTATCATCAAGTTCTGATAGTACGTCATCAGTATCTAATAGCTCTACTAAAGATTAAAAATTTCATTTGTCATCTTTTTCTTCACATTTCAATAATGGTCTCTTTTATCCCAACAGTTTTCTATAACCTATATTTTATTGTTAATATCTAGTTAGACTAAAATTGATTTACTCTTAAATTCTCAAAGGCAATATGAAGGCCATCAATAAAAATGTACTTTAATCCTTTTAAAGATGTAAATTTTTTCTCCTTTGCAAAGGACGCAAGTATGCTCAGACAAAATTAATGAATAAAAATATCATGTAATAATATCTGTTGAATGCAATTTAAACAAAGCATTATTATTTTTGTCAAACTGTTAATACACTTTAGGGAAAATATTTAATTGGCAGCTTTTCTTATTTACACTGATGTATTTACAGTTGTATGCCAAGATTTACTGGAAAAAGCTGTGAGAAAGTAATTGACCACTGTAGGCTGCTCAGCATCGACTGTCTGAATGAAGGATGGTGTTTCAATATAATTGGAAGATTCAGAGTAAGTAATTTAATACATGGCAAAGTAATTTAGCACATCAAAACACAATAGCTTCAGGCACTTTGTATTTCAAATGCTTTTATCAATCTAAGCCAGATAAATGCATCCTTATATGGGTATTTAAATATATTATATATAGTTTAGTAATAGAGATTTTAAAAAATGTATTTTTATTGATTTCAGAGAGGAAGGGAGAGGGAGAGAGAGAGATAGAAACATCAGTGATGAGAAAGAATCATTGATTGGCTGCCTCCTGCAGGCTCCTTCCTGGGGATCGAGCCTGCAACCCAGGCATATGCCCTTGACCGGAATAGAACCTGCAGTTCTTCAATCCACAGGCCAACGCTCTATCCACTGAGCCATGCCAGCTAGGGCAGAGATTTTTAACTTAGAATTATGTTGGGAGGCCATTGATGTGTTCTAGGCAGTGACTTTATTATGAAATAAGAGTATACCTAGTTGAGAACTGGTAATATATCTATCTCTCTATATATAAGACCACAGTTACTAATGTCTTAAGCTCTTAAACCAGATGGGAAATAAAATTAATCTGGTAATTGTTAATCAGGATATATAAAAAATAAGTTTTTGGTTTTTTTGCTGGATAGTGTTTGAAATAATTTTACAAATCTAGTGTGTGTGCTACACAGAGGAAGGCATATCGTATAATTCAGCAATTCTATTTTCAGGTATGTCTACTGGATAAATTATCAGGTTTGTACTGAATGAGACATATAGAAGAATTTTCATGCCAAATCTGAAACAAACTAAAGCTTACAGTGGGAGAATGGATAAATTTATCATGGCAATGTCATACCACAGAATTATAAAAAGTGGTTAAAATACATGAGCAATAGCTACATGAATTAATACTTGTAAATACCAAAACATAATGATGACTTTTAAAATATTATTAAAATTACATATGTACAGTGTGATAATATGTAGTTTAAGTTTTAAAATTCCTATTTTTGCGGTTGCAGAAGTCTATAGCAAAGTGAACACATACATGAGAATTATTCATACACACTGTATTCATCAGAACTGCCTCCAAGGAGACAGGTGGGAGAGTAAAATCAGGGAGGGTACAGATGGGACTTACTATGTATCTGTAATGCTTTGTTTTTTTAAAAGAAATGGATTTTTTGTAAATGAGGAGGGTAGGATTATGTTGTTTATTTTATTATTTTCTCTTTTCTGTAGTATAAAATGTTTAAATAAATATTTTTAAAGATAATTAAAATCAACTTATGGAATGGATCATGGACAAATTTATATGTGTACTTTTTGTACATATATACTAAATGAAAGATTGTTACTAGATAAGAATATATAGGATAAGAATATAACATTTATTTAGCAGCTATAATACCTTTGGCATTATAGTTTTTCATTTGTGATTATGACCTTATTTGATCTACACATAAATCCCTTTCCATTTTATGTAAAAAAATAAAATTTCTACTGAGCTTTTGAAATATTTCCTCTAGTTTACACATATCAATAGTGTTGGATGAAGCTAGATCTAATCCTCTTCTGTGTGACTTGCGAACACATCCTTTCAAGTACTGGTACATATCTATTTTCAATATAAAGTATATACCACCATTTATTTTTCTTTAAAATTTATCTATTGTTTCCCTAATATGAAATTGTCTTATTGAAATGTTTTTCTTACTTTGGTTTGAAATTATTTTATATTATCCTGTTTATGTTTTGGGTTTTGGTTCCTGTTTTGTTTCAGGATGATCTCTGAGTTTTTATCTCTGACATTGTTTTTAAGTTTTTCTTCTTCTAACAGCACTTTTTCCCTGTGAGATCTCATCTATTCTAGGGCCTCAACAATTATCTATATGTTATTGACTGTATCCAGTTTGAATTTCTTTTTTAAAGATATTTGACTGGACTTTTCATCACCTTGCAGACCTTTCTTTTTTGCGATCCTACTTTAACTTTACTGACTCCCATTAGATAAAATATTAGCAGGATGGGAATGTTATTAGCTTTCTCATCGGGTTAAAATTTAGGTGATGATACTGTACATTATTAAATGTTTTAACATTACTGTAATTTTTCAGAAACTATTCTGTCCTACCCAGTTTGCTCAGTGGTTGGAGCATCAGCCCACGACTGAGGGGTCACAGGTTTTGATTCTGGTCATAGACACAGGGCACATACCTTACAGTTACAGGTTCATCCCCACTCCTTTGGGGTGAGTGGGGAGGGGGTAACCAATCAATGTGACTCTCTCACATCGATGTTTCTCTGTCTCTCTCTCTGTCCTTTCCCCTCCTTTTGAATCTCTCTAAAGTTCATTGGAAAAAATATGCTCAGATGAGGATTAACAACAACAAAAAGACAGATATTATTAATGGCACATAAAGCAATACTCAATCAAATGTTGTTTAAGAGAGTCTCATTTTATTTAAACAAATACAAATATATTTGAAAGTAAAGTAACAGGAAAGATATATATCACATAACAATTAAGTAAAATAGATACTAGTGTAACTTTATTAATAATGTGGGCTTCAATATAAGGAAATAGCAAAGAAGAACTTTGTTTTATCAACATAATTGGGTCAATTTATCAAATGAAATTACACATTTAATAGCACAGCTTCAAAATACATATAACACAAACTGACATCCATCCCCATAATCATTCAGGACTTTATAATAATTTTAATTAGCATAAAATGTCCCTTGTATATTTGAAATGACTTTATGGAAACAGTGAAGTCTATGAATTCTGTGACCTATGTGGTCTGGGGACAAATTAATATACACAGCTATACATAGCAACAGAGAAGCAGGGAACCAGAGAGAATCATGGGGAAGAATGGCTTTGGGAATCACAGAGAGTCTCTGAATTAAAGTTGGAGCTAACTCAACCCCAGGGTTAATCAGAGTTTTGATGCCATTGGGACCTGGATAATGTTTGTATTATACAGATACATATAACATAAGCTAAAATGAAATAAATCAACAATTTTACAGTTGTTGGCTCCTGTAAATGAGATAATTCTAAAATTGCGGTATAATGATAAATGTATTTTTGAATATACATTTAATTGAAGTAATATGAAAAATAAAGCATACTCCACAATGACTTTAAGATTAAGAGTTTATATTAAATGTAACAGGCAACATTAGGGGTTAAAAGAAAAACCCTGAAGGTTAGCACCTTATTAATTCTATGCCATGCTTTCCCTTATGAGTTAAATTTCTCTATTTCAATTCATTTTATTTATACTGAACTTTCTCATTGAGATTGTGATGAGGAATTTCTAATCAACACTTTCACAATGTCAATTGCATTTTCAACATTAATAATGTAAATGGTGCCCATGATAAAACAATTGTCACTTTCCAAATGAGAGTCACATTTCTAATAACCACCATATGAGAATAAATCATTGAACAAATTAAGAGCTCATGGCAAAAAACAGAATATGTTCTTACTATCATTTTTATGTTTATGAAAGTGAATAAATGACAGCCAAAGAATATAATTCATATTATACACATAAAGTAAACAAACAGACACTGCATTTAAGAACTATTAAGAGTGATGAAGGATTTCTTTTCCTTAGAGTTTTAATGATTTACTAATATTAATTTTCATAGATAATACATATAGTTAGAGCCACAATTTCTGATTTACATCTATCCATATATTTTATAAGTTCTTGATGTTATGACTTAGAATTCTTGGCTGCTTTTTTTATAGCATCAAAGAAAATGCCATGAGAGCTTTATACACAACTATTTTGGTTCTCTTCTTGTGCAACTGGTTCAGAGATGCAGACATAAGAATGTAATTTATGTTTTAGCTCTTCTTTTTAAGTCTTCATAGGGGAGTCAACTGAAAAAAAACAACAACTTTAAAACTCATTCTAGTTTAACTTTACCATCTGTTTTATTTCTTTCTTCTATTTCCATCCTCTAGTTAATTTTCTTTTTACAATGATTTTCAACAAGTGTGACTTATGCAAACTCACGCTGAAAGAAGTAAGCTCAAATTAGTATTCCATATGAGTGAAATTTGCATTTGGGATAGGATTTAGAGTTTTAGAATTTTAGTTGCAACAACAGAAATTTAAACAGAATCTCTCTCTCTCTCTTTCTCTCTTACACACACACACAAACTCACACACACACACACACACACACACACACACACACACACACACATTATTAGAGGTTCCAGGGACTAGAATAGGTAAGCATTTTCCAAAATACCTTCTCAATGTTTCCTTCTCTAGACACCTGATCTAAAATGTTAAAAACTCCCTTCTAGCCCGTATGTGTCACCCTGCTCTATGTTTCTTCTTAACAACTATTGTCATCCTGTTTACCAGATAACAATATACTTCTTCGTGGATTTTTTTATTGCCTATGAGAACAAAAGTTAAGCTCTATGAAGGTAGATGTCTTTGTTTCTTTGTACTGGAGTAACCTTCCAGAGAAGGCAACAAAGTTCTAGCAATGGCGAGTTACGCCACGTGTACGTGATGGGAACCTATTTGAAGGATACTTCTATGTAGGACAAGCACACACTCCATAAACTGACCACTGGGCAACCTCTCTCTTAGTAATGAAATAGTTGGAGCTAGCTTGACATGGAATCTGGGGAGAGAAGTATTTGGTGAAAAGTACAACGAATAGTTATGCACAAAATACCCCTCAATACTGTTGTTTATATAAAAACTATAAAAGTTAAATCAAAAAAGGAGGTTGGGATATCTAAGTATTTTTATGAACACAGAAAAATTTTATACACATACACAATAAAAATCCAAAATTTACACTATGATCTGCTACTAAAATTTAAATTAAAGAGAAAAACTGAAACTATTTCTTATTGTTTGACCCAAGAACTACATTTAAAGATGTCAACATACTTTCTGATTGTACCCTCAACCAGATAAACACACCAATATTTCCATTCTTTCTCAGTCCTCAGAAATACTTCTTCAGGTTTAAGGACTGGATGG